TTTTTTTCTTTATTCGACTTTAAATTCTTTTTTTCCGCTCGACTGTAAGGACGCCCCATTCTAAGCATCAAATTTTCTATTATTTCCTTGAGGCGAAGTTCCATTTTATTGGTGTGAAATTTTACTTCACGATTAAACGAACTTCTGCACACTCCGTTCGTCTAAAATTCCAGCAATGTTTGCTCCTGAATTTCGAGTATTGTATTCAAACTTAAAGGCAAATAATTTTCTGTTGTGATTGTTGGCTTGATGCGGAATTTATTGAAATTGATCGTCAAATATGAAGGGAAGTCGTTGAAACAAGATTTGTAAAGAAGATTCTTAAGGTGAAGGAACTTTCGTTTACCAAGGGAAGGTAAATTAAGAAATTTTCTGCTATCCTTTGTGAGTCTTAGCGACGTTCTATCGATCCTGTGTCTAGAGGCGAAAGCTTCTTTCTCCAAGACATCGTGGTTCTCAACTGTAAAGACTGCGGCTTGCAATACTGTTATTCACGTCTCGAGCAATGTGGTCGCCTTTACAATAAAGCAGCGAAACTACCGTTTGAGAGATCGCAATTAGAATGCGCTACGAATGTGCACATGCGGTGTGTGAGCCTTTATCGCGGAATTTTTCTCGTCTTCTATAGCCACGAAGCGAGGAAATTGTCTGGCATCGATTAAACTTTGATATTTCAGAAGGTGAACGGCCTGTACGATGGTTGAAATAACCTGCGAAAATGTGAAAAAGGAATTGCTAGGAATTTATTATTACTAAATTTCTACTAAGTTTCACTTTCGATACCTTATTTTTCCACAGTTTTTTTTTAAAATCCGGATTTTAAATAAAGAAAAAAAAAACTTTAAAATGATAATAATTTTAATTAAAAATATTCAGAAGCGAAGATTTATCAATGTCTTCTTTCCTCAGCTTACGTAGAAGCTTGGACTTTTAATTTCTTAGCTAAATGTCCAAAGTAGTCTCTGATTATTTTCCAGCTCGATTGGAATTCTTTTTGAACGGCGAAGAACAGTTGCTACGACCGGTCTGATTGATTCGCGTTCCATTAACAAAACGTGAAACGTAGAGTGCACGACTCGCGCGTATCGTAAAAGGAACAATAACAGGTAATACGTAGCCCGTAACGACTAGCAGTCTCGCAGGTGTAACTACGTGCCTTTGGATACTGTTACGCACTCATACGTGCGAAACGCTATGGATCTGCGTGCAACAGCCCCCGAGTGTGTGTGTGTGTGCGCGCGGTAAAAATGATAATCAGAGCCTGAGAAACGGGAGCTACCGGAAAGGTTCCGCGATAGGGTCGATAAGGTTCACGCTGGCACGAACACTTTCCCGAAACACGATCGTGGCGGAATTGCGGCAGGGATCGCTTTGAAGTATTCTCGAATCTTTTGGAATACCTGTGCGCCTTCGAGGGTGATGATAATAAATTCGATTCGCTCCGGGCGTGCAGTCTCGGCGAGTGGCGAGTTTTGTTCGTTGAACTCGTCGATCTGATATTCGACATTTCTTTGAGATTCTCGAGATCGATCTGGGATATTGAATCTTCCAAGCTATTTGAAGGTGACTTTCTGTATCTGTAACCTTTTTTTTTTTTTTTACGAGGAGGAAATCTTCGATGAGACACCTGAGTCTTTTAAGGGAAGACCC